TCCACTCGCCCAAAGAGACAGAGTGAATAGGCAAGCAGTGTGGACCCCGGCGAGCTCTGCTAGCCGTGAGCCCCGAGGACTGTGGGGAGACAGAGCAGGCACTGACTGACGCTGGCAGGGGCTGCACAGAACGGGTAACAGGTGAAATGGGTGCTGAAGGATGGTGAAGGGCGAGAAGGGCACCTCTCAGCCAGGGAACAAAGTGGCGCAGAGGCGTAGGCGCACACGTGGCCTACTTGGGCAAAGGAGAGTGACTTGGCGAGGCTGCGACCCGGCTGAGAAGTGATGATGGCTTGGAGTAGAGCAGGGGGCGAGGGGCTGGGGTTCCGAGTGTCTCGTTCTTCCCGAACACCCAGTCATCATGACTCATTGTCTCTTTCCCAGGACCCCTCGTATTGTTTTGAATGTTTGTCTGCTTGCTTACTGACCTGGCTGCCCTGGGTCCTCGTCGCGGTGCACAGTACCTTCGCTGGGTCCCGTGGGGCTTCCCTGCGTTGCACAGGCTCTCTGGTTGGCCTGCACAGGCTCAGTAGTTGGTGCACGGGCTTCGCTGCCCCGTAGCTATGGGACCTTAGTTCCCTGACCCGGGTTGGATCAGAGTCCCCTTTGTTGCAAGGCAGATTCTGAGCCACTGGACCACCAGGGAAGTCCCCCGTCCCCTTTTCGTGTGATGTCCACTGTCACCTCACAGGTCGGAATGCTCACCGTGATGCCTCACTCGTGGTGACGGACTGCGGCCCTGCACACAGACACCCTCTGACCCTCTCTGCGCATCGTTCCCCAGCCTGGGTGCTGCAGCTGCTAGGCTGTCCCCTCCACCCTCTTGGAAGACCGCTGTCTGACCGCAGAAAGCTGGGAGCGCTGGAAGGTAGCAGCCCCTCGGCGATGACTGGCTGGTGTCGGGGTGTGAAAGCCCAGCTCCCTTGACTCAAACTGCGATCGACGTGGAGGTCTGAGCTATGCTCCGTGGTTCCCCTGTGCGGTCAGACCTCAGTTTCACTCTGGGGGGTTTCACCCCGGGGGGACTTTGTCTGAAATCTCTCCTTCACTGGTGTCACCTGGGAGCACAACCTTAATAAATCACTTGCTCATGAACTCTTGTTGTGGGGCTCTGCTCTAGCAGACCTGGAACTAATGCACATTCTGTACACAGAGTCAGGAGCATGAACGGCCGACTCACATGGCTGTCCCCCTGAAATGCAGGCAACACTGTAAACCGACTACATTCCAATAAAACATTTTTCCAAAGTCATGAAGTTCTTTTAACTCTCCACGTTCTCACTGCAGCAGCCTAGGTTCTACATTGAAGGCAAAAGAAGAAGAGGGCGACAGAGGATGAGTGGGTGAGATAGCATCACCAACTCAGTGGACATTAATTTGGGCAAACTGCAGGAGTTAGTGAAGGACAGGAAAGCCTGGCATGCTCCGGTCCACCAGGTCACAAAGAATCAGACATGACTTAGCAACTGAACAATAACAACAGGTTGTATATGGACTTCCCTGGTGGCTTAGTGGTAAGGGATCCGCCTGCCAGTGCAGGAGACGCAAATTCAATTCCCTGGGTTGGGAAGATCCTCTGGAGAAGGAAATAGAATCCATCTCCAGTATTCTTGCTTGGGAAATCCTATGGACAGAGGAACCCGGCAGTTTACAGCCCATGAGGTCGCAAAGAGTCAGACACGACTTGGCAACTAAACCACAAGATTTTACATATGTATTTATACTGTCTAGTTTGCTGCAATAGATTTCTACTCTAATCCATTTATTCAGAAAATAGTATTGTGCCTCTACTATAATCTAGGCACTGCTGATGTCTACTTAAATTCATCTTCCGTTAATTTGCCTTGAAACATCGTTTTCACAAGGTCACCTTATTATCAAAATCTTCTGAGGGCTCCCAATCACCTCGAGAGTTTTAACTTAGGCTCAAGTCATCTCCTTTATAAAGGAAAATATAGATATTCTCATGGACCTTGGAGGTAATTTTTGAAATTCATTATAATTTAACTTTCAATATGTATAAACATAAAACTAGTTATAAACTCTTTATAGTGACAGCTTTGATATAACTATAAATCCAGAATAAATTTTCAAATTATATTCAAACACAACTACAAAACCAATAAAATTTAAATTCCCAACATTAATTTAATGTGACAGATGATGGTACTTTGCTGGAACAAAAATCACTGATATTTGGTTTAATAGCAGAAGGATGTAGTCTCAGGTTTGTTTGTATACTTAATCTGTTTCTATATTACAGTTTGAATAACACTAATGTAAGGAATAATGCTTAATGTAACGAATAGTGATTCTCACAAGAAAACTGTCTAAAATTGTATTAATCACTGAAATTTTTTATTTCTAATTCAGGATCATCAGAACCAAAATCTGCCCAAGAATAACCCTTGCATGCCCATTGCATTCAGGCATATATTGATAACTCTGCAGAACTATTTTGTTCCCTTAAAGATAAGGTTTGCTGCTATTGTTTAGTCACTAAGTCATGTCCAACTCTCTGCGACCACACTGACTATATCCTGCCAGGCTCATCTGTCCACGGGATTTCCTAGGCAAGAATACTGGAGTGGGTTACCATTTCCTTCTCCAGTGGATCTTCCTGACCCAGAGATTGAACCCTGCATTGCAGGCGGATTCTTTATGGCTGAGCCACCAGGAAAGCCCAAAGATAAGGTTAGCACCGTGCTGTTCCAGGAATCTTCATCAAATGAATATTTATTCCACATGCTTTGCAATCAGGATCAGGCTTGGCTTCCTAGAAGCAAATCTGAGACAAAGATTCAGATACAGGGGTTTATTTCAAAACTGATCTTAGTCACTGGTGAGCAATGTGGGTACATGATATAGAGAAGGAAAGGTCAACACACCATGCCGTGATAGACAGGTGTGGAGCTCATTGCCATGGAAACCTCAGAACTGGCCCGCCGAGAAGTGAGGCAACTAGGATATTTATCCTCCAATTCCCGTTTGTCATTGGTGGACGGCTGCTCCCAAAATTATCTCCGCACATCTGGCCTGCCAAGAGAAAGCCATTAGGCAAAGACTCAGAAGTGTTTGTAGCTGGACACCTGGGCACAGGCCAGAACAGTGACTGCCAGCCAGGTATGGGCAAAGGCACCGACAGCATCTGTCTCAGAAGCAGATTCTTTCTTTCCTGGGTGTCCAATACTGAAGGGTTTCAAGTTGATTAGTTCCATAACAAAATCCGCTCGCACAGGTAGGACACTCACTCTGTAGAAGTCTGGCCTGTCCATCCTACTGGATGCTGTGCACAGACTCAAATGGCCAGAATTTCCTCTGTGCAAACAAATGCCAGATCCTTATGCATTCAACTGAGGTAACATTGTTTATCCTCCACTTGCAGTATACAGTGAGAGGGCTGATTTTCCACATATGCTCATAATAATTTCCAATTATCATTACAATTTAGAAAATAAAAACTAAAGTTTCACGTAGAACTTCATAACCCCTGACAGTAAGTGTTGAGACCCCCCCCCCCCCCCGCCAAGGTGGTAGGAGAGGATTGGGGGAGGAGGAAATGAGGGAAGGGCAGAAAGAAACTGACCTGCATTAAAATGTACAACAGTCTGAAATTCACGGCCCACTGAAACCTACCTTCAAGCCTCCATCAAAACTTTCCATCGTCAAATGAATCTACTAGCAATGTGATGAGGATACCTTGGGCTTATCGCCTAAAAGATTCACATCTTTCAGCCTCTCTACAATTCATGTGGACCTACCTAAGTCCTACAGAGAGGCCAGGCCTTCCCAGGTTGCTCTGGTTCACGACAAATTCACAAATGCTAACTCTCACTTGCCGATTAACCACAGGCTGCATTCCTGTGTCCTTGGTCTTGTATTGTTTTCTAACATCGCATGTGTTCACGTCATACACCCCCAACCAAGCTGTGCCACCTACGATGAGACTAAGCCAGCACAGCCCAATGGAAGGACGCAGACCCTGCAATCCACCCACCTGCTCACAGACTCGGGCTCAGCTGTGTGCTAGCTGTAACCTTGACCCTCCATTTCTCCGTCCGGAAAAGAGAGACCCCAGTACCTCCCTCACAGCGCTGCTGTGTGGATAAATACCTGAAAACATCTTGCAGAATGTCTATACTTGAGCATCTGCCCAATAAAAGGAGTTCCCTCTCTTACTTTGCAAACATGTATTTTCAGTGCACGGTTCTTTCCAACAGCCTTGAGAAATTTCCAGTATCATCTTGAAGGTCTGGCTCTTGTGATGAGTTGAGAGACCTTTGGTTGCACTGTGATTTGCTAGTAATCTAAACACATTTTTATAAGACACTATTCTAGGGAGAGAACATCTGGATCTCTCTCATCTTTCTCTTAAAAAATTTTCCTGTCTGTGCCTGTAGAAAGATAAAGAATTGATAAAGAGATTCTCAGGGTCATGGTTACATTTTGTAGATAAGAAATTTCCTTATTTGGCTGAAACAGATGTTCAGCTAAGAAATGTCTTGCCAGTGCAAACCGTATCCCACAAGCATGTTATTGATTCACACGGAGCAGCCATAGAGCCAGGATTATGCAGACTTAGATCTGTCCTCATCTTGGGCAAGTACAATTAAGAGACCTAGTTTCCATAACCCTGGACATGAATAGCAAGTGTTAAAATGTCTATGAAGCTGACTCAGTGATCATTCACAATTTTTTTGTTTTGTTTTGTTTCCTCTTTAAAACAGGCTGTTGAATTTTGCTTCTCATGATGGTTTCATCTTGACCCTATTCACAAGGCCAAGACCTAGGGTGCTGCCATCCATCCACTGAGGGCAACCCTTTAAAGTCATCTGTGTTCCTTGTTGTTGTTTAAGTCACGTCTGGCTCTATGCAACCCCACGGACTCTAGCCCACCAGGCTTCTCTGTCCAGGGGATTTCCTAAGCAAGAATAATCAAGTGGGTTCCCGTTTCCTTCTCCAGGGAGTCTTCCTGACCCAGGAATCGAACCCTCAGCTCCTGCACAGCATGCGGATTCTTCACCACTAAGCCACGAGGAAAGCCCAGGGTTCAATAATAAAACGACAGTTAATAATAGCCAACTTTGAAGAGCGAGCTTCTCCTTTCACACAAATGAGCTTCTAATTCTGCCGTATGGGACACAGTCTCTTGCTTTTTCGAGATGAAAACCAGAAGCAGTAGGAGGTGTCTACAGTTCACTGAGTATTTATATCATTTAAACTGCAAACAAAAAAATTCCTTCTAAATGGGATGAGCCTTTGGCGCTGAGGTCATTAGGACTTACAGGTGAGCTGCTTGTGTGATCAGCGAGAGAAGCCTATTCACCACGCACTAAGTTCGAGGCCCCTTCACGTGGGACCAGCAGCTGAAAAGCAGCTAAGTGCTAAATGCTAGAGGTGAGTTTTTGTTTTAGAATGACGGTGCGGATCCCGAGGGCTCCTTCTATTCCAGACACTCTCCCAAGGTCTTCCCATACTCTCCCAAGTCTTACAGAGAGGTTTCATAGACATATTCTTTGAAAATAGACGCTTCTATATGACCAGTTTTGTTAACAAAAGTCTGACTTGAACCCTGGGGTTAGAAAAGTGTTTGGCTGCAAGTAACAAAAAACTCAAATAATGTATAGGTCTTTTTTTTTTTTTTCAGGTAACCAGAAATTCAATGGTAAACAATTCTAAGATGCTTCAGCTGCATGTGTATATCAGCAACAATCAAGGCTTCTACATCTTGCTCCTTCGTTCTTAGAATGAATGTTTTGCCGCCAAGGCTCCTGAATCTCCAGACATCATGTCTGTATTCTAGGAAGAGAATGGGGCGAGAGCTTATAAAGAATCTGACAATCAGGTTTAAAAAATTTTTTGCAAAGCCTCTCAGCAAAGCCAACTGCCTATATCTCACTAGATAAAACTGGGTGGACTGGCCATCCCTCTCCTCAAGGAGGTCTTGGATGTAAGTATTTTAGTTGGGCATATTTCTTCTCCAAAGAAAATCAGAATTTTATTGGTACAAAGGAAGGGAATATAGGTAATATCCAGACAACCAGCAATGTCTATTATATTAGGGTCTGGGAATGAGAGTCATCTCTGAATAGGAAATCATTTGCATTAAAAATATTAAAACCTCTTTTTCTGGAGACGTGCCTATTCTTAACAGAATTATAAACTGAGTTAGCCAAAACATAAAACCAAGAACACTAACCTGGTCATAATCAACGAGGCTTGATCATCAGTGAAGTTGAACTTTGGGTTGTTTTGCCTTTCCTGGAGTCATAAATATATCTTTGAAAATATTTTTATTTATGTTTAAATTGGTCTTTTCCATCACAAAGCAAGTTCTTTCTGAAAACTACTTTCTTTAAAAGCAAGATCCTCTGTGTTACATCTTATCATCCTGCTGTCTTCCATTTTAAAATTAGAGCTCTATTCTAAAAAGAATGTTGGCCACCTGAAATAACATCCAAGAAAACAGAAAACTTCAAAAAACACCCTTTATTTTCTGTCTTCCCCACTAGATTATTAAATTCATTAGAGAAAGAACCATTTCTTTGTTCTCTATTATATTCCAAACATATTCACCACAGGATCAGAACATATAAGATAGTCAAGAAGTACTTTATAAATAAATGTTACATATTTTTAAAAAATATTGTTTTCCTAAAAGCATTATTATTGGAGCTCAAAGTAAATTTATAATACAAACATAAACCAGAAAAAATATAATCCCAATTATCTTAATCTGAAGAGACACTAGATAAAATTCAGAATTAACTTCTGAATGAACAGTAACAATAAACTCAACAAACTTGAGATAAAAGTGAACCTCTGAAGCGTGAGGAATGTTTCAAATCAACAGACAAGATCATACTTTAGAAACCCTAAAAGTCAGCCTATTAAAACCAGAAGTGGGATAGAAAAATAAAAGAAGATTCTCTTCTTGCCAATACTATTAAACTTTCTTTAAACTCAGCTAGTAAAGTTAGACTAGAAGATAATTCTAAGTACAATTATTGGAAAAGATAAGACAAAAGTATTGGCTGATTATATGACCATATTCTAGGAAACTCAAGAGGATCAATGAAAAAACAATTAGAAATAAAAGTTCAGTAAGTTGATGAGTTACAGAATAAATTCTGAAAATGTGCCAGCAATAATTAGAAAACATTTGTGATATAACGTTGATGTAAAAATGCAGGCTTCAAAATACACACACACACACACAAACTACTATCTCTACTTGATATGAAAATGGAAAAGATTTATAGCTATTGACACACAGATGTAAGCAAATTGCAATACAGACACTGACACACAGTGGTCTAAACCAATGACAGTAAATGAAGAAATCTCTGCTTCTCTTCACCTATGAGCATTCCATTAAGTCACCCATGTAAGAAAATGAAATCGAAATAAGCAACATGGAGCACAGGAGCGTGTGTAACTGAGACCTTCAGCAAGGGACTCATATTTCCATGTTCTCTGCCTGTGGGGTCTTAATAAATACACATCTCTCTTAGTCAATGCTCACTCAATGGTTCATTTCAACTTTCCTAAACCATGACCACTGGCTTTGTTGAGCTGTCCTTCAAAAATGAATTTTGTAAGTGGTACACAGCCTTTATTTTATGCAAAGTCATCCTAAATCCACCCTCCAAATCTGGTTTAAATCAATCCAGACCAAGAGTCAGAGCATTCATTTTATTTTCATCGATATATCAAAGCTTAAGAGGAAATATACTAAAACACATTTTAATGGGATGAGGTTTTTGTATGCTTTTATTATATCTTCAGATTTTCTACACTGAATAGGCATTACTTTAGATTTTTCAAGATTTTTTTAAATCTTGATTTAACCCTTTTCTAAATCCTTCATTTCCTATCTCCCAGCACATCTTTCCAAGAAATATCTCAAATCTTCAAAACATACCTTAAGTCTGGCCCAGTGCTCTTCTCTGTGGCTATCAGCCTGGTCCAACGTAATGCCTTTTCCTTCCTGGGTATCTCTCCTGAACCCGAGGTTCATCTCCTGCTGCAATCAGTTCTTTCAACCAACATAGATCAAGAGAGACCTTATGCAGGACGTCTATACCAGCTGACAGGAAGTGAATCCTAGTAAGTGAGCAGCCACAGGCAGAGGCGGCTAACAGTCCTGCCAAGAGACAGACTGAGACCCAGGGAGTGGTTAAGCCTTTTTCAGTTCCAGCTCCAAGCTACATACATCCTCCTCATCCATTCCCTCATTCTCAGCATAATGTCAACATATTTCTGAGCCCAATAAAATCAGTCTAGAAAAACAAGGCAATGAGTAAAGATAATATGTTCTTGAAATATTAATAGAAGAGTAATAAGTGAGCTCAAAGAATAATTCGAGGTGACGGTTATTACTGGACCTGGATAGGCAGCCCATGGGCAGCTAGAGCCTATGTATAAGTTTAGTGCACAGTTAGGCAACATTTAAATCACTGATCCAATCAATGGGGATTCTCAGGTGGCTCAGTGATAAAGAATCCGCCTGTTATGCAGGAGACACATGTTCGATCCCTGGGTTGGGAAGATCCCCTGGAGAAGGAAATAGCAACCCACTCCAGTATTCTTGCCTGGGAAATCCCACGGACAGAGGAGCCTGGTGGGCTACAGTCCACAGGGTCACAAAGAGTCAGACACAGTTGAGCAACTTAGCATGCATCCAATTAATGTATTTTAGGAAACTGGGAAGAGAAGGCAGTTTCAAGTTAAACCCACTCAGTAAAACAGTTGATTTTTTTTTACTTTTAATTTAATTTATATTAATTTTAAAATTTATAACTGTGTGTGATTCAACTAATTACAGTAGTATATGTCAAAAAGATCATCAGCAAAAATAAAAGGCAAACTTCCAGGTATTAAATGGCATTGCAATATCATGATAAAGGTTATAATCTTAATAAAGGGCATTCATCCTTATCATCAACTAGAAAAAGAATGCCCCCTTTGAAAAATGAGTAAAGAACATGAGCAGACAATTTATTAAAAAAAAAAAAAAACACATGTGGCAAATAAACATGAAAAAGCTCAACCTTATCTGTAGTCAATAATTACAAAATAAAAGAATGTGAAAAAAATTAGCAAATCTGAACAAAAAAGATGATATTTATTACTGTTAAGGGTGCCATAGTGAGACAAGTATTCATGCTCCACTAGTGGAAGCATAAATTGGAACCATAATTAAGTATCGCTTTTCTTAAAATATGTTAAAATATTTATATCCACTCCTAGAAACGTGTGTGTGCCCAACACACACAAGGATTATTCATAAGAATGTTTATTGCAACATTACTTCTAATGGTAAGAACCTGGCAACAATCAACAAAATTAGTTAATGAGAACATTTAAAATATTCTAAGTCTATTTAATGACATTGGAAAATTATCATGGATAATTTGCTAGAGTTTCAAAACAGCTTTAAAAATTTGAAAAAAATTAGTTTGATGCCAATTTCATTAAATTTTATGCATTTCTGTAATAAGAGAAAAAACTTGGACTGAAATAAAATATTAACAATGGCTATGTGGCAATATCATGGGTATATATTGTATTTTCCCTATTTTTTTCTAATTTTCATGAAAGTGACCTGCCTCTTGAGAAACCTGTTTGCAGGCCAGGAAGCAACAGTTAGAACTGGACATGGAACAACAGGCTGGTTCCAAATAGGAAAAGGAGTATGTCAAGGCTGTAGGTTGTCACCCTGCTTATTTAACTTATAT